TATATATCTTATATGTTATTTTATTATACTTTAGATTATTACACATTATAAAGGAGAAACCAGTTCACTGAGTGAAAAATGAGTGTGAAAGCTTGTACATGACATCAGTTTATGGAGAAATTCTTTCCCTTTTAGTTTCAGGATTATAGGCCCCTCCATATTCAAAGAAATAGAGCCTGGGGGCATTTCCATGAAGGCCACCAAGTGGACAGACTGTCCTATAAGGACTTTGTCTGTGCAGGATATTTTTCCTGCTGTCTGCTTCACAACATTGCGCAACATCTCTTGTCCAGTGTGCAGTAGCCTATAGACAGAAGCTGATGTAACAGTAAATGTTTAAGACTTTAATGACTATTTGAAAAATTCAAAGATTCTAATTCGCCGCTAATCTCAGTAGTCTTTTCTGAGCACATTGTAGATATTGTCAATACGGACCGACTGCATATTTCGTTACAAATAGATCATAATCGGTCCTGTTGTATTAGATTTAGTGCAGCTCTGTGTGTAAACAATGAATTAAAACCATTGTAATAATGGCATTTTGTAAATGTGACACTGCTGGTGGATTCTGTCCGCTCCAACTTATCAAACTTCTGAAAAAACAAATATTGTGTATTTTGCCCAACTCTATAATCACAGCACAGCACGTTTTAACAGGCTTCTGAAAGCTAGAAATGCTCATAATGTGGCAGCGGTCTTAATTTAAATGCATTAGTTGCTGCCTTTTGTGAGTTGAAGACTAAAATCATGCCCTTACTGGCTAAAAGCCATCTCCTTTCCACATGTAGAAGTGTTTTCTGGTCAGCTCCGTAATCGTAGAAATGAAACAGGACACGCCTCTGAGAGCTGGGTGTGCAGTGACTCAGGCAGTTTGAATCCACAGCTTTGCATTAGCCAGTTCACTTACATAAAACATGACATCACTTTAGCCTCTGTGTTTCTAAGCATGTTTTGGTGCTGTATCTAGGTGGGCTGCATCTCTCTCTCTCTCTCTCTCTCTCTCTCTCTCTCACTGAAGATGGGAAATGATTAAACTCCTTGCTCTTCCTCAGTCTTTCCATACTTCTGGCCATAAATGATTCAAACTCCATCAGCTGTGGACTATTTAAGCTCCATGTACTCTGTTCTTAAACCCAGTTCAGAGCCAGGCTAACGCTGGCCTGCAGTGTTAGGATCACTACGAATGTCACCCCATCAGCGCTCTGATCAGATGCATCAGCTAGATGTACTTCCTAAAAAAGATTCCAGTGCAGGAAGACACATCAGAAGACTTTAAATATAACCACAGTAGCGCTAACGCTGTTCTGACATCAGATAAACTCACTGCACTCTCCCTCTATCTCTCTCTCTCTCTCTCCCATACCATCTGATTATATTATATATAATGTGTCCAACCTTTGCCTTCATTACAGCTTCCATTTTTTTCAGGAGACTTGCTTTCAGTTTTCTTTGAAGCCCTGCTGGTGACATCTTGTATGAATAAAAATAATACGTATTTGATAAGGCGTGGGAACGAGACAATTAAGTTGTGGCCACAACTTATTAAGGCGTGTGAACAAGAGCCTAATGCATGGCCACGATTTAGTAAGGTGTGGGAACGAAATCATGCCTTTTTAAGCTGTGGTCATGGCTTAATTATCTCATTCCCCCACCTTACTAAATCATGGCCATGCATTAGTGTCTCATTCCCACGCCTTACTAAGTTATGGTCACACAGGATCTTGTTCCCACGCCTTACTAAGTTGTGGCCACGCAATATTTATACGAGATGTCACCAGCAGGGCTCCGTAGTTTTCTAAAGAAATCTGCAGGGATATTTTTCCACATGAACAAAGTTCAATCTTAAAAGACTAATTAGGTTCATTTTGTTCTTGCAGACAAACAGTAAACATGTACCAATTATACACTTTGAATATTGTTCCAGTGACAAATAAATAACCAATATATTTCACCATATGTCTCTTCCCACAATGTAAACTGGGTGGGCCTAATCTTGGGTCACACTTCCGTAAACATTCCCCTCACCAGTCACAAGGCTGACATCTCTTGATCTGCCCACACAAAACAATTTGAGTCAGAGAAACTTGGCGAGCTAAAGCTAACCCAGCATAACCAAAAGCTAGCAAGCTAGACCACCTGCCTGTAGAGGCCTGTTGCACATGCATTCATTTATACATACGTGAGCATCGGTCGTTCAAGCTTTGCTTTGTCTATCTGTTTGTTTGTTTGTCCATTGGTTCGTGCATTGCTTCATCTGTTCATTTGTTGGTCCATTTGTCCATTTGCATATCTGTTTGTCCATGACTTTTTTCATCCAGTTACCGTCACATAAAAGCTGGATAATAATTTTAGTTCTGTATGAGTGGCAGAGCAGGCTAGCAGTGTTGAACAACGAGCTGTCAATCAAGCTGCTCATTAGCCACTCCCGCCACTCCCACACATTTCTCAGGTATGTCTGATCAGTTTTAGGCCATATTTATATTTTATATTTTCGTTCAATCTTTGCTGGACGCTAAATACAACACTCAAGTTTGATCCAAGTAATACTAACACATTCAGTGACGTTAAGGTCTGGACTCTGGGGTGGTCAGTCCATTCCTCTGAGAACACCAGCAGCTCTTTTGTTTGATTTGCAAATTTCTTCCTTTTTGACAGATCTCTTTTTTCAGTAAGAGCTTATTGATAGCCTGTGGATTTTTTCAGATCTGAAGCAAAAGTGGAGCTTGATTTTCTCCTCTCTCTCAAAGATGAAAGTTTTAAGTACTGTTTATCTGATGGTGTCGGTTTTGGAGGTCTACCAGCTCCTGCTCGGTTATTAGGAGCCTCATTTTCTCTGGGACTTTTAATCATTTTTTCGAAGCTCCTGTTCTTTTTTTCTTGACTTTCTCCTTCCTTATGCAAGTGTATTATCGTATATCTAATCTAATATATCTAATACCTAATGATTAGAAAAAATGAATAGCTTGTACTTAATGGCCATTTTCACTGTAATTTTAATAGATGAAGGGACCTTATGCATTCACTGCTTTGATGAAAGAATATATCCATGAAAATCAATGACTGCACACACTGCACAAAACAGCATTTAACTGACTCTTTTGCCATGTGTGATTTTTACAGGTCAGGCCTTAAGCCTGTGTGTTGCGTGCAGAGGTCACTCTTGATCCTGGCTTTGCGTGCGTTTTGTGTCCAGCCTCCCTGCATTACACTAGCTTTTCCCTCCCTGTACACAGATGCCTCAGCATGACAATGCTGACTGTGCTCACAAACCAGATCCCTCCTGCAGAATGCTATGGCACATTCACAAAGGGTATCTGGTCAAATATGGTCTTGTGTGACAGTCATTTCCTTGAGTTTTCATTGGTGGGTCGTTGATCTGATGGCATATATTCAGATACTGCCTTTCAGTAATAACGAACCAATGACGTATATCATATGAATGTATAAAATGATTCTAATATGTATGTCTTGTGCAACTACACGGACTTTGGTTAATTCATAGGACATTAAGTCTGTAAATATTAAATTAAGAAATGTAAAATATAGTTGTATGCAAAGGTTTGGGCACCCCTTGGTCAAATGGCTTTTTTTTTTTGATTTTCTGAATGAAAATTAGTGAACACATCCTCTATGGGAAACACTTCTGCACATTTAAGTGCACAATTACTGTTTATTTACTGAGTTTAACAAACTGGAAAAATAAAACATAACATGTGGCTTGTGTAAAAGTGTTTTTCCCACAATATGTTAATGTTGTGCACTAAAGTCTGCAGAAAAATGAATAAGAAAACTGAGATAGCATTGATAATTTAATTATAATAAATGAATATCCAGAATTCATCACATTTCAAAAGTGGAGATTAAATCTCAAGGCCGATGATGTAATAAAAAACCCTCTAAGAATACCATTCGATGAATAGTTGGTAATATTTAAATCCATATTTTTGTTTTTTTTTCTAAATTTGCTGCGTGTGTATTCAGCTACATTGCAACATTTTGTTGATTTTTATAGTTTACAATAAGACTATAAAACATACTGTGCTCTAAACCACATTGGCAAGCCTGCATGACTGTAATGAAGACCTGAATGCGATTTACGCTGGTTCAAAGTAGTTTTGGAGATGTATTTATGTAAAAGATTTGGGAGACTGTTGACTTCTGGTGTTTATTAGCAATGTTATCCTTGTCAGCTCCAGAGCTAAACTAAAGAAACAAATTTTGGACACCAAAAGTTTACTGACTATATCTGGAATAAGTGAAATTTGTAAATTTAATTTTTCACCATTATTTCAAAGCCATAGTTTGGGAAAAACTCATGGATGGCATACTGTTAAGAAGAAAAATAAACAAGACTGATTTTTTTGGCTTATTAACTACATTTAGGGTAAGGGTACAATTGTGTAAATTACATTTTTCGACTATTACTTTAACAGGCTGTACATTATGATCATGAGAGCTGGGTGCTTTTATAGATAGGTTGTGTAATGTCTTGTGTAAGTCCACTCTTATCTAAGTACATGTGCACATACACATGTAAACCTAAACAGAAGTCTCAGTGTCACATGAAGAGATAAAAAATCTGTTACCAGGACAGTGGGGGGGAGGGGGGTGTTAAATAATCAGATAACTGCATGCATTTCGATCTGACTTTGTAATGTGTTTCAGATGACCTCTGATGCTTGGTTCTAAATACATGTATCACATGTTAAAGGTCTGCACAGATAAAGGCATAAGCTGTGTCTCTATAGGTCTATAGAGTAATGTGCTGAATGAGAATGCTGCTATGGAAAAGCACATTCTTATAGGCAGCGTTCTCTAATGCTGTTCTTACATAATAGCACACTATCAGCATTCAGAGCTCATGCTGAAACTGACATTGCTAATACTAAAACAAATGCATTCTGTTGAGGTGTCAAACTATGCTGTATCATCTGTTGACACATCAGCTTCATAGTTGCTCTTTTCTCTTCTCACGTCGTTGCTTCTCCTCGTTCTTTCAGATGGCACTGAGGAGACGAGGGAGTAGGGAAACCTTCAAGGATAAGAAATCTCTTACTCAGGTTTGTGTTTTCAATGCCACACATACACAACATACATATACTGCTGAAATGTCACTGATAACTTTTTTTTTTTACATTTTCACTGTAAAAACCTGATTGGTTATAATAATGCGAAGCTATTGAATGCCACTGGGAAACTATGACTATCAGAGCTAGGCCTTCAATTCAGGATACAAATGTCATAACTTGATCAAAAGGAAAAGAAGAAAAACCTGCCTCTATGATAATGCTAACTTCTGCTAGCTTCTCTATAGAATTCTAGTAGTTTGTTAGCAATAAGCTATCTGCTTTTTGCATGAACACTTTTTGGCAGTTCTAGATTAAATACAGACATTTGAATCTTCTAAAAGACATTTTATGTTGTATCTGAAGTTTATGACAGACATTTTAGCATATGTTGTACCTTGTAGTAGGTTCACAATGTCTCTTTCTGTAGAGAGCCCTGGTGTAGAGCTGTCGACGCTTTTTCCATTTCTAACTACCCATTGATTAGGATGCCACTTGTATTTACAGTCAGTAATATATCTAGGACTTCCAGATGGCCCATAAATTGGTCCTGCCTATTGGAAATCCAAACGTGATTCGTTGATTGCCCTGTCATTCCGTAATTATACTGATTGTTAATCTTAAATGTTAGAACTTTCGAAGTCTTAACCAGTAGGAGAGCTCACTTCTACCTATATACCACAAACACAATTCCTGATTGCCCAATTTTCCATTCAGTGTTTCAAGAAAGTAACCCTTTTGTTTCCATCCAGAACTTTACAATGAAACCAAAGTAGTACTGTAATACTCGCAGAGTTTAAATTCAAGCATGATTCTATTGAATAAAAATTAACTAAAAATTACAGACATGTATTCTTTAATTCCCTGCAATCATTAGGCCTTCTCCAAAGGCCTAGAAGGCCCTAAGAGTTCTCCTCTGCCCAATGACCGCTGGGATAGGTTCCACTTCCCCCCTCCAACCCAGAAGGATAAGTGGCTTAGAAAATGTGTGTGTGTGTGTGTGTGTATTTTGTTACTGTCAATGAAATGTTTTGACAATTTTTCATTGTAAGGATTCATCATAGATTAGTTTAAGTTGGATATAAGTTGCTAACGACCTGACAGAATATGTACAAGTGGTTGGCAAAATACTCACCTATTTAAGGATTGAAATCACAAGTAGGCTTTAGATGAAAACGGAAGCTGATGATAAAACTGACATAATGAAAAGCCCCTTTGCTCCAATCCTTCTCCACAGGAGGACAGTGCAGACCTACGCTGTCAGCTGCAGTTTGCTAAAGAAGAATCGGCCTTGATGCGCAAGAAGATGGCCAAACTGGGCCGGGAAAAGGACGAGCTGGAGCAGGAGCTCCAGAAGTACAAGTCTGTGTACGGGGACGTGGACAGCCCCCTGCCCCTGGCTGAGGTGACGGGCGGCGGGCCGCACAGCACACGGGAGGCTGAGCTGCGACTGCGGCTCAGGCTGGTGGAGGAGGAGGCCAACATCCTGGGGCGCAAGATCGTGGAGCTGGAGGTGGAGAACCGTGGCCTCCGGGCCGAGAATGAGGACCTACGTTCACAGTACGAGCGTGACTGCTTCGGCCGCGAGCCCTTTTCCAGCGTGCCTACATCTCCATATGGCACCGATGGGGCACTGGAGTCGGCCAGTGAACTGCGGCGCCACCTGCAGTTTGTGGAAGAGGAGGCCGAGCTGCTGCGACGTTCCATCTCCGAGATTGAGGACCATAACAGGCAGCTTACCACCGAGCTCAACCGCTTTAAGTTTGGGCCTGGGCAAGGTGATGGAGAGGCTGAGGGCGGAGGCACCTTAGGTGTCTTGAAGCCTGGAAATGGGGGCAATGGTGGTAATGGGGCAAGCGTCCCACCAAGTGGTGCTGGTCTCCTGCAGGAGGAGCTGAAAGCCGCCCGTCTGCAGATTGATGAACTGAGTGGGAAGGTGATGAAGCTGCAGTACGAGAACCGTGTGCTAATCTCCAATGTACAGCGTTGCGATCTGGCCGCCCACTTGGGCTTGCGCTCTGGGAGCCCCAGGGACAGCGATGCTGAGAGCAGGGAAGCTGAAGATGAGGAGGCAGGACGGCTCCTGCTACTCCATCCCAAACGGGAGGGTCCTGTGGGCGGCGAGAGCGACTCTGAGGACCCATTCGAGAAGACAGCCACTTCTGGGTTTGGGAGTGGTGGGAAAGCGTCGGACGTCTGCGAGCTGGGAGGAGCGGAGCTAGCGCAGCGGAGGCGGGAGGATCGGGAGATGCTCATGGGTATTAAAAGGGAGGCGGAGCGGCTGGGAAAAACAGTGGAGCGCCTCATTGTGGACACAAACAGTCTGATCTGCGAGGGGCGCCTGGTCGTGACAGGAGCAGACTCTGTCGGGGTAGGCAAAGATACTATAATGAGAGATTTGATGCCAGTTCACTATTTCAGTTTAGCATACAAACATTACTGTACATTGAGTGCTTTGGTCCAGCTGTTTTGGCTCATGCATCACATACTTTCTGTTGTTGTTTCTGTTGTCATATGTGAACTCATCCAGACATTTACTCAGTCAGACAGTGGAAAAATATAAGCATTAGTCATTGGTCATTTCTCAGTACATAGCGCATCTTAGACACTAGGGCCAGATTTAATTATGTTTTGGGACATCCCTAACTCTGTTTTGTCGTTAAAAAGTAGCTGTCACAATTTTCTAAATAGTTGCTATGGCACTTTACCGCCCATAGTAAGATCAAAGAGGTGGTCGCTTCTCTTTTTTTGCTTTTGCCTTTGAGATTATAGTAATCTATAATAATCAAGCAATGATATGTGGTGGCTGTCATACAAAAAGCATGTGAACCAAACACATTATTATATTGCACTGATCAAATGTTAATTACAAAGTTGCACTTTGCATGGAAGTTCTTAGTAGATAACCTGCTAAATTACCCACAAACCCACCTGCGCAAAGCATCGGTAGAGTGTCATTAATTAGTGTCTCTCTTAGTAAATCTCCTGGTTTCCAGGACAGGGATTAAGCCTAGTCATGGACTACAGCATTCTGAATGGATGTTCTCCATTGTATTCCAGGACAGCACTTTAAAGGAATTGATTAATTTTGATAAAATTAATTGAATTGATTAAACTTCTTCCAAACAGAAATCTAGAAATAACCTACTGTACTCCTTAAATACAGCAGACTGCTGTAAAAATGGTGCATTCTGAGAGATACAGGTCAGGCTCTTTGTTAAAGAGGTTAAAATTTTGGACTTTACAGTAATTAGCTGTTATTTGCAAAGCATGTTGGGAAAGTGAGAGCACTTTGCGGTCTTGAGCAGAATGTCTCTGAATATTGTAGTGTGTGTGGGGGGGTGGAGCTTCCCAGCATTCCTTGAAATATTGTTCGTTTTTTCATCTACAGTTCTTTTTAGATGTTTTCATTGTTGTTGTTTTAATGTGTTATTCTTTCCGTAAAGATACGTTTGAATGCATTTTACATATTTTGGTCTTCCAACCATGATGGTGTTTGTGTTTCAGTTAACTACTTCATTTTGTAATGTTATAATTAATGGATATTTGGTTACTGCTGTTGTCGTAGTCTTAATGACTAGCAACAGTGTGTATAACTGCTGTAATGCGATGTTCAGTTCAGGGTGTGAAGGATAAACAATACTACACTGTTGTGAAAAATAGTGTGATTGGTCTCCTAACTATGCTTATAATTTTGTGTTCATGAACATTCAAATGTTTGCTAACAGAAGTTAGCTAGTGGAGCGTTTGCCTATATCTTTACAGGTTGTACAACATAATGTAGCAAAATAGAGGGCCTTCAGACAGCTGGGGGTGTACAATAGAACACATGTGAGCTGTGCATAAGAAATACAGGGGAGCAAGACAACTGACAGTAATCACTTGTAAAGTATTGGAATTTTATAATAAAGCACTATTACTGTAAATTAACGGTCAATTACTGTAATTAACAGAACTGTAATTAATTCAACTGAAATATTTTACTACGTAAGGAAAGGACCATGGTATTTTCATCAATATGATATCTTGCTTAAAACATGTTATTTTCTCTTCCAGACTGCTGGGGAAGGTTACGAGTTCAGGGGCGACGGAGACACTGCCGAACCCAAGCCCGACTCTCAGGTGCTGGATGCCATCAACACCCGCATGCGGGCATTACGGGCAGAACTCCATTCCTTTGTGGAGAAAGTGGACCACTTGGGTGAGGGTCTGAAAGAACGCACTGATGACCTTTCACCCCATGCCCAACCTCACGGAGTCCAGCAGCTTCCTGTCCACTGTCACCTCCATGTCTCGCGACTCGCCCATCGGCACTCTGGGAAGAGACCTGGTGACAGACTTTCAGGTAGGTCGTACATCATGCTGTCTTTCGTCTGCTGTCACATGCTACCTGAGACATGATTATGTCCACCTGCTGCTTACTTTCTGAGCCTGATATCCACCAGAGAGAATGACTAAGTGAATCTTAATCTCTGTATCAATCAAACTGCTTAATCAAAACTAGGGATGGGCACGAGTAATTGACTAACAAGTACCCGTAACATAACCGTCTATTCCACTGGTAAAGTACTACTGAGAATCCACAAATGATTCTGCATTGAGACTCAAATAGTCTCGCAGGGCCAGAGATGATGTCATGATGAGAGTACACATCTAGAGATAACTGTAATTAACCTGGCTTAAAAGAAGATAGAAACTTAGGTTTGTTTTGGTGGAGTTTGAAATTTCTAAACCAACTAAACCTCATGAAGGCAGAGCTGAAAGTAGGTGGATAGTGTGCTTGTTGTCCACTATAATATAATGAAAATAAAAATGCGACAGACCCTTGATCACCTCCCACTGTCTAGTCCGCTGCATGTGACTTTGTTTTCGAGGCAGCGGACATAAAGGAGTGGCCAGTTTTTTGAGGTAAGGACACTAGAGTGCTTCTCGGGGTTTGTGCACACAACAAGAACCTAAACACTGCTCTATTTAAGGTGGAACGGAAAATTCTAACAAAAAGCTGGCAAATAAGAAGCCATTTTCAGCCGTGTAGAAAAGAAAATGTGGAGCAACATTTAGCACCGTTTTTGCGAGGCCTGCAGGGCTAGTGTTAAAGCAATATTGACAGAGTATATCTATATATTTTGCGGTGTTGTTTTTACTATTTTGCCCAATAAAAAATCTGATTTGCTTTGGTTGTTAAAAATAGTTCCTATTAAATGAAGAATAATATATCCCAGAATAATAAGCCACTTTTAAATTACAAAAATATTTAGTTAAACTTCTAAAATGATTGTTTTTGATAAGAAATAAATACTGTAACATACACCAAAACAATCAGAAACTTCAGTAATTTGGCATTGCTGCCAAATATGGTATGATTTTATTAATTGTGCTTAATATGACCAGGTACATGAACTAACAAGCTATCAAAGATCAATTTTGCCTTAAGCCAGAGTACACTTTAAGGACAGGTGATAAAAGTTAATGGTATGAATAGCTGTTTCCTCTGCTGTTCGCAGTTACAGCAGCCAGAGTAAATGTAACGTGGACAGATTTGGCCACTATGTTTCCAGAATCTATTTCACTTGCTAGTGAGGTGTATTTGTTTTTTTATCGAATACCTAAAGGATGCATCAGACTGAAGAAATTTGGTGGTGGGTTTTAGAGGAAAAGTCTGTGGGTGAAGCCTTTTAGTGGCAGATTTTGCCACCATCCACCTCCAAAATTTTGAAAAGGTCGTCTCCATATGTGTATTCCTGTTACAAGATCATTTCTTGCCCTGCAAAGCTAGAGACCACATAAATCTCTCATATCTGTATTTTTATTTAAAGAAATATTCGTATCTCATACATAGCTGATTCGCTGAGTTACAACAGAATCCATAGCATGAAATCTGTCATTAGACTACCTGTTTTGTAATTCAAACAGGTGTCATTCTCAAAAGGCACATTTTTTACAGTGGCCAACAAGACCCAACACAATGCAAAATAAAAATGAGCTGCAAACTCAGAAAACACTTTCATCAATATGACAGCATACGTTCTGCGTTTTACACATACTCCGCAAAATAATAAAATGTGGGGCAAATTCGTAGATGCTCTGCAAACTCAGAAAACACTCAAAGTCACAACACAGTGGAAATGTTTCCATTTAAGTATAAACATTCACCTGTAAAAGTAAGTTAACTTATACTTGAACAGGTAACTAATATCACTGTATCGTAAAAGAAAATTAGCTAACTGTAACTGTAAAATTTCAAACAGCAATACCAGATATGACTGTATTACTGCTATGACATGTCATATAGCTAACAAGCCAGCTAAGGTAACCATGAACATACTGGAAAGTGAGTCTTATTGAGACTTATTAACCTCTGTCAGGGACTTTCATCACAGATGTTCCATTCCCTTTGAGAGTCTTCCAGAAACATTTCTGATGTGTTGGGGCTTGCTTCTGTTTTGCTGATGAAAATGTTTTCTGAATTTGCATCACATTCATGAATTTGCAACACATTTTTAATTGTACCGTACGTTTTTGGCACTGTGTACGGAATACTTGTGACTAGTTACCATGTAGCTTAGTAAAGGCTGAAATTTGTTAATTTCCTTTTTTTTGAAGCTAACACCTACTGAACAACAAAAAAACAGCTCTATTTCTGTTATTATTAATGCTGTAAATAAAGCACAGTATAAGTTTCACATGCATGCCAGGCTGTTTCTAAATTATTTAATTTATAATTATATAATTTTCAAATAATAAGTTACTCTTGTTTGAGTACTTAATAACAAAATTACTCGATGCCCATCATGTACCAAAATCAAAATTATACAACAGGACTCATTACTACCAGGGCTTACATGTACACCCGCACCATGATGTACACTTAGGTGAAACTATGTTAAAAATGTCAGTGGTCTCATCAAGTTTAATACACTAGGTAACGCTACTATAATCAGTGGGTGATTTGTTGCCTCTTCACTGTTTCGGTTGTGTTCATGTTATGTAGAAGAGAAGTTAGTTAGTTGGGTGTAGATATATGTAATGGCATGTCTAAGCATGCGTATCATGTACAGACTGACAGCCCGCAGTGCAGCTCCATTGCTTCTGTATGCTTCAGTCATGGACGTTTGGCTTATACACTCCATATTTTCTGTTGTTTTCACTTCAAAAATTGGAAAATCTGTTGTTTTGTTCTTGTATTTGAAGATAACCAAACATTTATTCAGTCAGCCAGAGAAAAAGCTTAAGGATTAGTCCGTCCCTAAGTATTACCTTGAAGACTTGATATTTCTGATATACCTCACTTTTAAAGAGCAATTTATTAGTGCAGCACAGAATGCCACAGTGTGATAGTCTCATAATCAAAGTCATAAGACAATATACAGTAGTATGCAAACGTTCCGTGCCCCCGGTCAGTTTACGTGTTGTTAATTTTCTAAGTGAAAATAAGTTCATACATCCTCTATAGAAAACACACATCTGTACATTTTAGTGCACAGTTACTGCTGATCTGCTAAAAATGTAATTAATTGCTGGAGCTGTTGAGGAGGACATAAAATGTGGCCTTTACAAAAGTAAAAAAAACAATTCTTTTCCCAAGATCAGGAAAATAGGAATTGTGCACTAAAATATTTAAGTTTAAGCCTTATTTCAGTTTGTTCTCTGTAGAGGATGTGTGCTTATTTTCACTAAGAAAATGAAGAAAGCATGTTGAGGGTGTTCAAACTTATGCATACGACTGTACACATATACCCACAGGATTACTAGAGTTGGAGGTGCATGGAGGTTTTGTAGGCCTTTATACCTCCACAATGCTTCACGATTCGCCAGATAACTACACTGTTACACTCATATATAGTTCCATACACCACCCAGCTCAGCCAAAGACCAATCCTGCCAACCCTCCAACCTGCCCCCACACCCTGAACCAGTTTCCCACAATCATGCCCACACCCCACATTGCACACACCTGTACCCACCCCTGCGTCCACACCTGCCCTCCTCCATTTCTACCCTTATGCCCACTGTCTTACCCACCCGTGGCTGCTTGCTGAACTGCTGTGTCAGGTTCAGAGTACAGAATGAGAGAAGAGCCATTGTTGCCTGCATGGCTTCATAAGCCTGTTGCAGCAAGCGAGTGGTGCATGAGACCCTTTTAAAAGCAAAGCTTTTATGCCGTAACAGGCACAGCTTGACTCTGCATGACAGCTGATTTTGATTCAAAACCTCAATGAGGTCTACCTTGCTTTTAAAACTTTGAGTGATAACTCCAGTCTCCAGTTGTGCTATGATTTCCTTCCATCTTTGATGTCCAGTTGTTAAAGGGGGATTTTTTAAGTCATTCAGAGTGGCGTGATGTGAAATGTTCTGTTGTAGAGGCACATGCCGAGGCAGAATTGTTCACAATGGTGGTGTTAGGAACCTGGCGTCTAAAGACTTCATAAAAAGTTATTACACAAAATGGTTCCGAATTAGGGCTGGGTGATTAATTGAAATTTGTTTTCAGCTACGATTTTGGCTTCCAACAATTCTGAAGACATGATAATCGAGATAAAATGATTATTGAGCTGCAATCCGTTGTGCAATGTTGCTCTCGTTTTGTCTTGTGTTATAAATCCAGCGCACTTTACAGTGGTGCGTCTCCCCCCCAAAAAAGCCCAAGTTCATCTAATTTATTTTTGTCTTATTTATTTTTAATTAGTATATATATATAGTATATATATATGAGTAAATGTGCTAAATAATCATGATCTCAATATTGACCAAAATAATCGTGATTATGATTTTTGCCATGATCATGCAGCCCTATTATGGATAGAGTTACTTGGGGGAAGACCCTGCCCAGGATGAAATGGCTGTATATTCATTGTAGTCATCATGATTACTGGTTCCTGTCATCACTGTGAAGAAAATCTCTCTTTAAATTCCTCTACAGTAAATCATTTCACATTAAACCACTCTGAATGACTTTGTACAGTTCAATCTCAATGACTGAATTATGAATTAAGACTGCATTGACAATTTTAAGAATGAAAAGCAATTTATTATATCCATTCTGTTAATTTTACTGAGAATATAAAGGAACATTTCACTCAAAATGCTTAATAACTAGGCTTGCATGCATAGAGTGCCCCGACTAAGTTCTTATTTTGCCTAAGAAACTGGACTGAACCAAAAGACATATAAAACTAGTTCATTTATGGTTTTGTTTACATGCATGCCAGCATAGACAGACTTTATAACGTGACTGCGTTTCCACCGTGTCCTTTGTTCCTTTTTTCTCCTTACATTAAAATATCTAATGATGCCTATTTCTGACTAAATGATTAACACGATGGACATTTGTTCCTCTCCGCAAAA